CATGATCCCACTGTCTTGAATCAGGTTTGTGGATTATTCTAAGACTTCACAAGTTCATTGAGAATCTAGAAAATTAGAAAACATTATTCGAGATCAGAGGCGAAACCCTGATTTATGATCATCAACATGATAGGATCAAATCGAGAATTATTCGGAAAATTTTGAATTCATTCATGAGTCTGCAGTTCTTGAATCAAATTAGAATTGATACCCTAAAGCTACCTGTCATGAGAAAATCAAATAGAAAAATCCAAAAGATTAAATTCGAAAACCAAAGATTAGAATAAAAAAAAAGGATTTACAATCATCTAAAAATCGAAATCAGGTTACTATCTTAAAGCTAATTCACAAAAAACGAGATCAAAACGAAAAGAAACGGAGGTCACTCCAGCCACGAAGAGCAAAACTATGGATCAAAGCATATAAACTAACCTCTCATCATGATGTGTTTGTCTCCCCCAAACCTTCACCCCCTCCCTTATGACCCGGAGGCAACTCAACCATAAAAAAAAAACTGAACAATAAGGACTAACGGGCCGTGGCTTCGCTTTACCCTTCACTTGCCACGTAGCAAGACAAAACCATCGAACCTGCCGGTGACCCCTCACTGGTAGTCCGGGGGGGAACAGACCTTCCATGCCCTTCGTTGCCCTTCAGCACCTAACTCTTTCGTTGGACATGTAACACCCTGCCATTCGTAGCTCTGATGATGATGCTAGCAGCCCATACCCTTCGCAGGCCTTCACAAGCAGGCTAAGCAGCCTCTTCGTAGTAGCCTCATCCTCTACGCACGATCCATCACCCTTATCGCCATCCTTCCCATCATCATCCCTTCACCCAAAACCTCTCAACCACCACCTCGCACCACCCCGAATCCACTCCCCCCACCACTGCACCGCACCGCCGCTTGTTGCCGTCCAGCGTCGCTTGATTCGACTCCGCGCTGCTCCGCCGCATGTCACTGCTTGGCGCCGCTCGGCCTGACTGCGCGGGCGGGGCGTAGCGCTCCCGGCTGTGCTGCGCCCCTCTCTCTCCGGTCGTGTCGAATCCTGCTGGACACAACAATGAAAAGAAAGAAAGGGCGCACCTACAGCTGTCCTGCCCCAAACGCACCTGGACAGCATCACAGCCGGATTCCTTGGGGGAAGTCTACTCCTGTGTCTCTCTCTATCTGTGTCTCTCTATCTCTCTCCCTCCTCTCTCCTTCTCTCTCTCTCTTTCTCTCTCCCTTTCTCTGTCTCTCTATGCGTGTTCCGTTTCTTGAATTCGTTAATAGTGCTGAAATTTAGCAATTGGTTTGTGCCTAACTTTTTTTTTTTTTTTTTTTTTTTACGAGCATTGGCCGAACCGCCCGCACCGCAAGCGCTTAGCTAGTATGCATATACCGGGCAGTTCTGTTTGTGACGATATATACTACGACTTCGCTAGCTTCCTACTACGGTTTTTTCCGGTCAGGTCGAGCGGCAGTGGTCGGGGCCGTTACTAGGCGGCCATGCTATGCCTCTAGTGCCAGCGGCGTGTCTGGAGTGTATTTTTTGGCTGTGACAGACCTTTCTTTGTTTCGTGGATGTTTTGCTGGCTTGTGATGGGGTGTGAACCGACAGTCTGTAGAGTTTTCCATCTGGTGTGG